CAAGTATCACATCCCAATTCACCACAGGTGAAAGCTTAACTGTACCATCACCTTGTTTTATGGGCCATCTGTGTTCCATCTATGACCAGTGATAGGGTCAGTGCCAACTACATGGTGGCAATCCAGCTCAAACACCCCATCTTAACACTACGCTGAGCCCTAGTTTCTCCATCCATTCCTGATACCAATTAATACAGGTTAGGCTTTCCAGAAGTAGGCACTGATATAATAGAGTTTAAGATGAAAAACATTTATTAGAGATCAACATTTTAACATTTATTAGAGATCAACATTTTTTAAAGGAGGGAAACAGTATTGGGCAGAGGAAGAAATCAAACTATGATAATGTGGGCAATATAGCAGCAAGCCTTGGAAAGAGTATTGCTCATAAGCATGTTCCTGAAATGGGGTCTGTATTCTTTCACCTTGCTCAGTCACAATATATAGTCCATCCTAGAAAGGATGCGGCCCCAGGTAAGGTGGCTCTTTGTACCTGTGTCAGACCCTGAAGAATGCAGCAGCTGGAGGCTATCCACTGACTGCTATTCCTGCACACTTCCTTCATTGAAGCAGGATTTCCATTCTGACCACACCATCTTAAATCTTTTTTTAAGGCAGAACACACATGTCTTAGTTTGTTTTCTGCTGCTGTAACAGAATACCACAGACTGGGTCATCTATAAAGAAAAGAGATTTATTGGGCTAATAATTCTAAAGACTGGGAAGTCCAAGATCAAGGGCCACATCTGGTGAGGTATTTTTTACTGTGTCATAACATGGCAGAAGGCACCACATGCAAAGGATCATCCCTTTGTGAAAAGGAAAAGGGTAAGCTTGAGAGACAGAGAAGAAGGAGGCTGAACTCCCACAATAACCCCCTCCCAGCATAAGGGTGTTAATCCATTTATGAAGGTGAGGCTCTAATAACCTAATCACCTCTTAAAGGTCCCACCTCTTAATACCATTACAATGATAATTAAATTTCAACATGAGTTTTGGAGGAGACATTCAAGCCACAGCAATCAATAAATATTTCATATGGGTTTCAGTTTGCTTTTGAAAGAAACCTTTAATAGGTTACAAGCCAATTATAGCTTACATAAATCCTGTAAAAGCATAACCTTTGAAATCTGCAAAGTTACGGCCCAAACTGAAAGATGAATAATTTTTCATAAACCACATAAATATAAATAGAATTAAAATAGCATCATTCTCATAATCACTTTGAGACATAGTGCCATTTCCAGTCACCTTCCACCTGTTTGTAAATAAAAACACAATTTTTCATTAATTGAGAACAGTCTAGAGCACAAGATTTTCTCCCAGATTTTGTGCTCACTCTAAAGAAGCTTTGCAGTGATGCTGTCATCAATCAAAATGAGAGAGATCTACCTTTTAAGTGGGTTCAGCATAATGGCTTCTAGCAATTTCAGCCAGAATTTTTCTATGGGAACTGATTTACATTAATTTCTTAACTCTAATGCCTAAGAAGTCTGCTCAACATATTTCTATCTAGGAGAAAGAGCCAGACCTGACTAGAAACCACACAAAGTTGCATACAAGAAAGGAACATTCTGCGAGAGGAAAAAGGGGGGAATATGTGTCCCTAAAGATTCATTTATTTGAAATAGATCTTCATATGCATGGCTTCAATTTCTAAAACAACCTAGTCATTCAATGGACAATAACAGTGTTTCCCCAAAGTGTGATTTATGAATCATCTCCATGAGAATCATTTGCGGTTCTTAAGGAAATAAAGTGCTCATTTTTCTAGGGAACCAGAAATTTCTGTGTTTATCATTTTAACAGGCTAGTTAGGTGATAATGGAGCACACAAAGTCTGAGAACCATAGATCAATAGTATGTTGATCAGTCACAGAGTGTGTTGTTAAGCAATAGTGAAAGTTGACATATGCTGAGCTCTATGTGCCAGCCTCTGCTCTTGCAAGCTCTTCGTGTGTATTGTCTCATTTTATCTTCATTATAATTCCACAAGAGAGAAACTGTTCTTACTTTCATCTCACAGGTGATAAAATTTAGGGACACACTGGGGAATAGGAAATTTGGAGTTAAAGCACAAGAAGTTTAACTGAAAGCTGTACACATTCTTAATCACTAAATTCTACTGTGAGCCTATGTCTGGTTGAGACTGGAAGAAGCAAAACTTAAGTCCTTATGCAGGAAATTTAGACATCCTCTACTCTGAAAGCTGAGCATCTTCTGAACTTTCACTGTTGATGGTGAAGTTCTAATTACTTCTGTGTTTTATATATTGAAAATGATAATTTGAGATGGATGCAACATTCTTCAGATTACAAGTATTTGCCTTATTGAACCATATATGTGTATGATTTGCTCTAGAAATGATAAAGTACTTTAATTTTAAGAATCCTGAGGATTGGTGCCTTTGCAAAATATCATCTTATCGCTTTTGAAGAGCTTCCTGGCCTGACTCTGATGTATAGTCAACTAATTAACATATCTAAGAAATAATTAGTGCATTTCTTTTCTCTCTCATCTATATATATATTTTTTTCTATATACATTTTTTCTTCTATGAATAAAATATATATATTATATAGATCATAGTATATATATTATGTATATTTTTGTATATAAAAGTTATTAGCATATATTTATATATATTTAAAAGAAATGTACAAATTACTTCTATAAATAATATATAGAGAGAGACAAGAGAGAAAAGAACTAATTATGTCTTTGGGTATGATACATATATGGTATATATAGGGGGGGTGTGTGTGTGTGTGTGTGTGTGTGTATATATATATATATGACTGTCATACCATCATTGGCACAACTTTCTAAAATATGGTTTAATTTTTTTAATGAGCTTATCAATAGTAAAAACAAGGACATTATTCATGTCAGAGTTTTATGAAAATATGCTCTTGGGTATGTATGTAGAAGCTGAACAGATGGGCCATACGGTAATTCTGTTTAAACATTAGGGAATTGTCAGACTGCTTTCCAAATATAATGAGAATTTAGTTCCATCATCAGCTGAAAGCCACAAGCCAGTATTCTTTTAAAAGTATTGTATAATTAAGAGTTATCTCATTCTACACTACTTCACTAATCATGATGATGAGGATCCCAATCAGAAGAATATTATCACATGTCAGAGCTAATCTTCTAACTTTGTGGTTGTGTAAGACACTTTTATTGGCTTCTTAATTCATTAGCATTTTATGAATTAAGAAGCCAATAAAAGTGTCTTACACAACCATGGTTAAATCTACTTGTTTCTGATTCTAACAAAAAATAAAATTTCTGTATCCTTTAAGCCTGTAAATTTTTTTAAAGAGTCTTGATTTTAGAAAATTTATTTTTAGAATGGTGTTTTATCCAACAAAACATAATTATTAATATCATAGAGCTTCTGTGGAGACTTATAAGAATAGAATTCATTTGTTGCCAGTCTTTTTGGAGAGCTTTCTTCTTGTTTGTTTGCTTGCTTTTCAAGACAGAGTTTCACTCTCTCACCCAGGCTGGAGTGCAGTGACATGCGGCTCACTGCAACCTCAGCCTCCTGGGTTCAAGTGATCCTCATGCCTCAGCCTCGCAAGTAGCTGGGACTGCTAGTTCATGCCACCATGCCCAGAACTAGAGAAGTACCTTAACTTATCTTGAGCAAGCAAAGGAGGAAGAGCATTCAAGCTGGGTCAGCCATGGTGGCTCATGCCTGTAATCCCACCCCTTTGTGAGACTGAGGCAGGAGATAGCTGGAGCTCAGAAGTTAGAGACCAGCCTAGGCAGCATAGTGAGACTCTGTCTTTACAAAAATTTAAAATTAGCCAGGTCTGGTGGTATTTGCCTATATTCCCAGCTACTCTGGAGGCTCAGGCAAGAGGATCATTTGAGCCTAGCAGGTCAAGGTTACAGTGAGCCATGATTGTACCACTATGAGACCCTGTCTCAAATTTTCAAAAAATAAAAAGAACATTCAAACTTATCATGCACACCTAAAATGCCAGCTCTTTGGGGCTACTCGTATGTGATTTTTCAATTAATTATCACCACAACAATTGGTAAAATGCATTATAAACCCTATTATTATTCACCATTTACTTATGAGGAGAGTGAGATTCAATGAGCTAAGTGTTATGTCTAAGATTACACAGTTAATAAGTTAGTCAAAATCCCAAGGCCTTTTCCCATGTAGCATGTCGTCTCCAAAGAAATTACTAGTAGCATATTAATAAACCAATGCAATCTTATTTGCATGTAAAACTAGAATGGTGGGCAACTCTTTAGCCCTAAGTATCACACTTGCACACAGCAACATTTTTAGAGTGTCAGTTATTAAGCTGTGAGTTGATTTCAGATAGTAACCACTCCGATTTATTGTTCAGCAACCCAGGTAGATTGTAGAAGCAATTGCGGTTTTTCTAACAGGCAATGTTTTAATTAAGACAGTTTCTCTCCAGTGATGTCATTAAAGTACCTTAGTGTTTAAAAATCATAGAGCATTTGGTAACATAGCAATTGGTGAGAGTGGGAACTGTTGGGGAAATTGTATTTTGAATTGAGAATTTCCTTTCAAAAGTGGGAAATTGTAAATGAAAGCTAATCCTTTTAGTCTTGTTACTAATGTGAGACTTGCCCTACACCACTGACCTCTTCCTGATCCTAGACAATGCTAAAAGATCATGAATCGAAGCAGCAAAGTTAGAAGACACATCACTCACAGAAGGCGAAGTGTGGTGTGGCGATGAGACTTAATGAAAGTCGCTCTTTAGGCTTCTCTGGTTTTAGTTTTCTTCTTAACCCTCTCCCTCTGTTTGTTGTGTAAACACACAAACACAACAGGTAGGAAACCAACTCATTCCTCATTTGTTTAAACCAATGAATACTCTGCCTCAGAAGCCAGAACAAGCAGCCTTATATAATGAGCGGTGTGTGTGTGTGTGTGTGTGTGCGCGCGCGCGCTATTCTGGGACAGAGGAAGAGACAGGTAGAAATCCTGAGGAGCTATGGTAGGAAGACAGAGTTGCTACCTCCCTTTCAAGCTACGTCGGGGAGAGGGGGTGGGGACTATACCAACCCATCACCACGCTGCATGCCACTCTCACACACAGATGCTTCTCCGTCATGTTCTCTGGGAAATTTCCCCCAGATTAGAAAAAGGACGGTAACACGATTCTGCCTCGGAAGGCGAGTTTTTACCACTGCAGCACAAAGAACAGCGGAGCGCGCTTTCACATCCTTGCAACTCCACTCACTTGTTCGGCTCTGTACTTCAGCACCACGGAGAGCGGTACATCCTTGGCTGCCACCCATGGGGAACCAGCTTCCCGCGACTCAGCACCGGATTCCGGTCATCTAGAGGAGGAACAAGACTGCGTATATTACCCTCAATGTAAGCAGCTATGATGGTTCTTTCATTTTTTTTTTTTTCCCAGTAAAGGTTGTGTTCTTGCTGAAATATGGAACTGAACTTTTATTTATCAGCCTTCTTCCTCTAGTACATTGCTTAGATTTTTAGATGGATCCGAGATCTTTCTTATTCCTTGAGTTGGAGAAATTTTTTTCTTATATTGAATGTCTAAGTTTTCAAAGCCATTTGGAAATAGACAACTCAACTAGGTAGCCTATTCCTTTTGTGCTAGAGTAATATAGTTTTATTCCTAGAAGAGTGTATATGTACTGTCTCACCTTTCCCTTCACTACTGACAGCTTTCTAGTGTGGTATGTATGTGGTTGTATTTATCATAATATACATATGGGGATGAGAGAAGGAAGAGGTTATATTCTAATAAGTAACTACCATTAAAGAACTACAGGTGGCAAGAAAGAGATTGTCATTTTTCTTTTTTTATTGTTGAAAATATGGTCTGAGCTACATATCTCGTTTAGACATCCATTTCAAAATAATAAATATGTTCATAATAAAAGAGGTGTAATCTAGACAGAGCTGTGTGACATGAGCTTTGAAACTCTGAATCTCAGAATCTCCCCTTTAAATTTGAAATTGTAAATTCACTTATGCATATCAAGTAGACACAACCAAAATGCTGTTGCTATTAATTGTGATTTAAAGGCGTAATGGACTCAGGCAAGATTCAGAAAAGGCAATAATGATTGACCCTGTGTGGTAGCACTCAGTGAATTTTTGCATCAGAATGCCACCTGCTGGTGGGTCCTATTTCTGAAGTATCAGGCACACATCAGATTTATGAATGAATTCACATGATATCCAGAATATTCATTACGGATGTGATGCGAACCCAATCTCCAAGATCTTTTTAACAATGACATTGATTCAATTACTAAAAAAAAGTACCAGAGTTCTATGTCACAATTATCCTTTCATAAATATTTATTTCTAAAAATACTTGCTCCTGAACTTGGGGGCATGTAGACTAGATAACTCCTTTAGGCAGTAATTAACCCAGAAAAAAATCAGAACTATGTGGAGCCTCATTGAGGCTAATTGCAGAATGCATGTGGTATCTTGGATGAGAGTTACCAGGAGCTCATGCTTAGTAAAAGCAATCAACATTTCCCTCCAGATAAATATTCAGCATGTTACTTTTTTTAGTAATTTCATAATATAAGGGACTCTTACTTTCTAGGTAGTAGATGTTTATTTCAGACTCTTTTCACAGAGGTCAATGAAATCATTAAAAGATTAAATGTATCTATTTTATTCCAAGAAAACTCTTTTTTAAAAATTTAACTATCAAAACTTGTTTCAGCTCCACCTGGAGCTATACACAATGAGATACAGACGTCCAGTTTCATAACTTCCAACTTCCAAATAGGAATATAAAGATTTTTAAAGTAAAAAGAAAAACAGAAACACATACAAAGCACTAGTTATATTTGGATAGGCGGTACCCAGGCAGTTTGAAAAAAACTGAGGATAACTTCTTCTCTAAATGACGTTATTTGGTAGAAAATAAATTACTAATAGGATCACTTATTGACATTCAGGAACACTAGATAATATTTCCATTCCAAGATGCAATGGAAAAACCATCCCACATTAGTAGAATTATTTGGAAAGTATATCTTAATATAATACATTGTAATGAATAAAAGAAGGATACTTTGCTTGTTTCCTGTAGAATTTAACTGGTAAAATGTATAAACTCATATATATCATGGGGTAGGTAGGTGGGTATCTTTTTTCTTTTATTTAAAATATTTACATTCTTCAAGCAAATTATTATCAGTAGATTAGGTGGAAACTTAAATGACTTAAACCCACAATTAATATAGTTGTAATAAACTAAAAGAGAGCCAATAATCTCCAATGCTACTGGAACATGTAAAAGGCAATGATAAATAATTTATGTTGACTATTTCCCTCAACTTCAACATAATGAAAAAGGTGGTACTTAGAAATAAGTTGGATGCCTTTGGAAATATGTAAAAATTTTCAGGAGTATTATGAAGTGAGAATGTCTCAATTTTCTGCCTCAGTCACCAAGAGACGTCATATGTCCTCTAATATTAGCTGCTTCATCTAGCAACTTGTGGGCCATAATTTATAGTGGAGCTGATTGGAAACTGATTTTACTTAGGAATTCATACCTTATTTTAAATGTTGCCAGTCATAAGTAGGAAATAATAGTTATAGCATTATATGGCACCTATATTTTGTGAGAAGGAAGATGCTGGTAAACACTAACAACTCCAGTGTACTGATCTTCTTATGACCAACCCAGATTCAAATATTTAGGAATGGATTAAGTTTGTTGACCTTGTTGACAAAGCACCATAGGCCAGGCATCAGGAGTACAGGACACCAGGTGCATATGCCATATACATGAGTATTTCCTACCCTCAAGAATCTTGAACTCTAATGGAAAAACTTATAGTCTAAGGAAACTCAGGAAAAAAACATAGAAAGAAGATGGCTGGCAGTGGCATCTAGCCAAAAGCACAGATGTTGAAAGCAGACAGATTAGACCCTTGGTAGTGAGTTCACCACCGATACTTTGTGTAGCTTGGGAAAAGTAGTTAATTAATTTGACCATCATTTCATCATCTGTTAAATGGGAATGACAATGGCACCTAAACCATGTAATATAGTTTGTCAGAACTTAAAATGATAATGCATGTTCTCAAATGTATCATGTTTGCTACACATTTCTAATCATCTTTGCTTAGTGATTTATGTATTTACCTCCTTTTTAATATGTTTACATTTATAATTCATTAATCATTACATTGCCATTTGTCTTTATAGTCTGACATTATTGTGTTAAGTACATATAACATTAAATTTCTTCTTATATTTTATTTTAAAAATAAATGAATAAATAAATATAAATGACAATGCAAATAAATTACTCAGCATGGTGGCTGGCACGTGGTTAATGTGAAACAAATGTAAATCACTATGATTAAGTAGTCATTCAGGAAAATAGCTAAGCTTATCAGAAGATAATTTATTTAAAACAATAATTTATGCAAAGCACTTAGCACAGTGTCTAAATGGTAATTTTGTAATATATGTTAAATATCACTATTATATAGTCATTTAGAAAAATAGCTAAACTGAGCATATCAATGTATAGTAAAATGTGAGACAATTTTAATGCTTATGTACTTCAGTGCATTGATAGGTAAGATTTTTATCATTATTGTCATAGACATTTGTATAAGGCTTTATGTTATCCAGGGCATTTGGAAGACATTATTTTATCTTCACTGTGCTCCTAAGGAACATGAGGAATGGGTTTTATTACTCCCTTTATTTTGGTGAGAGAACTGTAGTATAGGAGAAGACTCCAAATAACTTGACTATTTCATCAATGTTGCTCTAAACTAAAACTCAGAATATATACTCTTGGGAGAGGATACACAGATCAAAGCTGGGTTTTCCTGGGTGTTTGATCTGACTCCTAGCTTCTGTTTGGTTCTATATCCAGATGGAGAACATTACAGGCTGAACTGATTTTAAGTTTGGATAATTTCCATAGAGACCTTTGATGCCTGTAGCAATTTTAGAAAAGAGACAACAAATACCTTTTAAGAGACATTTTGATTAAGTGGCCTTTTCTTCATCAGTAACCACCATTTCTGTCTCCAAAAGGCTTTATGGTCAAGTTCATCTGCAGCTGGACTTAGGGCACAAGATTCATACGTTTCATAGATGATTGACATCTGGCTTCCTTCAGACTGGCTGATGCATCTGTAGGAGCAGCTTGATAAAAATAGCAACTGAAGGATCAAGAGGGAGTTTAATAATCAGTCCTCCTCTCATATATGGTTTTGAATCCACTGGAATCCTTCTTCAGAATGACATCAAATGTCAATGTATATATTTCTGGAAAATGTAAAACGTCCCTTAATTGGGTTGTTTGTTCACTCATTATCTCAATAATATATGCAAATAAAAATGCATCTGCGTTCAAGGTTTATTTTTGAGAAAAATACTAAAGTAAGGGCCATCAAATGCCAATTGCATTTTAGGGAGAATTAGTTTCCTTACTTTTGGCCCCAAAACTGTGATAAGATCACCAGAGTCCAGCAGGGCAGCACATCTGATTCTTGGGTGTGAGCTTTGGCCACCAGCTATTGTGAGCTATGTGACTTTATCTTCCTGATATATCATCTTTTGTGGATTCTTTCCAACCCATGTGATATGTATAGCTAAAATATGAATATCTGCGATATCAAGATTAAATAGCAAGGATATGGTGGCTGAATATATTCATAAGTACATAAATGTTTAAAAAGCATCATTAGAGGGATATTAGGGTAAGAAAGAGTCAGAGCTAATAAGAAGCCCACAGTGAGGTTAAAAGTCATCCATCAATATCTGCATCAATTCTCCATAGTCTACTGTGAAGTCCCTCGCATTAGAAGCAATTTCATTGAATAGCACATGCCATTATCTGCTTATATGCATGCCTGTGACTCTAAGACTCATAAGGTTTCATTTTTAATGCTAAATTCTGCTAGGAAAGGAGTAGAACTGACAATTTTGTCAGCCTCCGAATGTGTTTCAAGGCAGAGGTTTTAAAGGCTGTGAAAGACAGTCTTGTTTATTTCTTACTACATCTAGGTGTCTGCTTTCAAGGTCATTCAGAAAAATGCATGTCAAATGGTGAGGACATTGTAATGTCTGCCAAGTACTGGCTATGCACATATATTATTTTCTTTAAAACATAATTATTACAGAAACATCAAGATTTATATGATGCCCTACCCTTGCGCAGAAATTATTTGTCCAAAGTCTTCGGACCTAAGATTTAGTCTTTTCACTTAACCTACCAGCGTTTCTTCACCTAAAAGATTAGAATGCTAATACTTTGCTTTTTCTGTTTTGTTTGTAATGAGTGGAATTAACAAACAATGCTTGAATATCCTTTAAGTTTGTAAGCTGCAGAGTCTATGATATTCACTGGGACTCTGAATTTAGATTGGGTACTTATGTGTTCCTTGCGAAATATTTCTCTGCTCTGACTTGGTTCAGTAGTCATTAAATTTCCTTTGAGTTAATCTCTCCATGGCTTGTTGCTGTGTAATAGTTGGGTACCCTTGACCTTGTAGTCTGACCCATTATCCCTCTTGAGCAGACCTCTAATGGAAAAGCTGGAATCAAGCTGTAGTGCCAGCTTCTTCTCCGACAGCTGCTGTTTCATATCTGACACAGTGCTCAGATGCTTTTGAGTGGAAACTGCTTTTTCTCAGGTTGAGCTGTGATGGCTAAGTCTAAACAAGTGTTTCTGGGAGAAGTAGAAGCCTATTATAGGACAGGTTGAGTACTTCCATGAAAAAGATTATTGTTAGTCTTCTGTGGGCTCAACTTCCACCTATGTATGTATGTGCCCAGATGACAGGCCTTGAAACTGAGTTCACTACATCTTCTGAAACAAGGCCCTTTGGGAATACAAATGGGATAACTGCTTAGCTTTCAACTCAGTAACGTTTCCCCTTCTGAAAATCCTATCATAATAAATGGCTGCACACTATGTGTGAATCTCTCCTGTAAAGGTTTCTGTGGGATTCCTAATCCACAGTCTGCCTTTGGTACCAATGAGCAGACTGTCTCTGGAATGATGGCATTGTGGAAAGAAATGGGCTTAGAAGGATCTCATGAACTTGAATTCTGGCAATCTTTTTCCCAGCAATCTTCCATCAAAGTGCACTTTTTAAAAGTGGATGGTGGTTTAGACACTCTTCCTAAAGGTGTATAGAGCTCTCTATTAGGATTTATCACCCACAGTTGCCTTTTGGGGGAGTTGCCAATAATTATTCTTTTTATTTTGTGCAGATAAAGAAGCTGTTCCACTGTATAATTTAGCAGCTTTTCCCAAGAGAAGTGTGACTCAGCTCCAGGCAGGATTAGAGTACCAAGATCTGATCTCCATTCTTTGCTTTATACCAGACATAGGGCCCCCAAGGAGCTAAAACCAAAAAGGTTTGAGCAGGTCAAAAGGTAAAATGAGCAGAAAACTAAATGGAGCCCCCAATTTAAACATTCACAGGGCTAATTGCATGACTTTTTAAAAATCTCAAAACATTGGATTTAATTTTAAAGCCATTCTCTGTGATCATTTTTGATTTGAATATTTTTAAAAATGGCTAAGGTGAAATATGGAGTACTGCTTATGCATGAAGACATAAACAATAAGAAAGACAATTCTCTGGAACTGTGGGAAATAGTTTAAAGCAGATATTCAAGTAAAACAGACACACTCTTGTTAAAAATTATGTCATTCTAATATTCTCTGAATGATGTGAATGGGAGGGTAGAGTAGAAAAGAAAAATAGCAAATACAGGTAGGGTCAATTGGAGAATCAAAAGAGTCCAAGATGTCCAAGTTGGCAGAGGCTTAGGAAAAATCTGGTCCAGCCCCTCTATTTCATAGTTATCTGGGGTCTAGCAGCTGGGACCTGCTCAAGGTATCAAGGCTACCTGGAGATGGCATATCCCTGACTTGAGCTCAAATTACACAATGGCTGTTGCAAACTAGCTGCTCTAGTTTACTGTTTCAACACCTTGGCAATGTAAGCTTGGGTAATTTGTCCAAAGTCACAAGGCTGGCAAATAGTGGGGCCAGGGTTTCTACTTTAAACCTTCTAACTTCAAAATCTGTCTTTCAATCCTCCTACTCTTAGTATCTTCAGCTGAGGATGAGGATAATAATAGTATCTTCCTCATAGATTTGATGCAAGAATTACACAATATGTGAAGCTATCAGTATAATACCTGGCATATAGCAGGTGCCTAATAAATGTTAACTGCTATTATTAGCAGTATTAGTATTAAGCTCTACACTATGCCACGCTGGGAAACAGCAATAAGTAAGAAGTGGACCCAGCATGTAAGTCGACCTATTTCTTCCATCCCTATAAAAGTCCAGGCTCAATCTTAAGAAGCTAAGGCTGAATTCTCTACGGAGGTTTGAGAATCAGCAAGTGGCAACGATTCTAGTCCTGCTGCCTGCCACATCTTGCCTTTTAGTAGGTGCTTAGGTTGCGTGTGAACCAGAAAGCACCGTCCTCGTATACAAAACACAGAATATAGACATGCGTGCATGTTGCTGCAGTTTTGTCATGGTGCAGGAGCTCATTCAGTAGGACACATCTGAACAAAAAGCAGCCTATTTGTGGTGGCCAACTCTATGGCACAGCCCTTGGAGAGCTGGGCATAAAAAGAGGCAAGAGGGAACAGAATAAAACCTACATTGACTTACACTTTCTACCTACAAATTACCTCATTTAATCCTCCTACAGACTCTGCAGCACATGAAAGTTATCCGCGTTGTGCAGGTGAGAAAACTAAAGCACAGAGGGGTTTTTGGCTCTCTCCACTTTACACAAATGGAAATAAAGCCAATAGCCCTCTGCCTGCTACAGCCATACCGCTACCCCACGCCTGAACCCCAATCTCTTATCAGGTTCACTCTAAATCCACTTTTCAGCTCTGCCATGCCGTCTCCACCCAAGGAGTATAGCGGCAGACAACTGTCATATTCTACCACTTGAAATAAATAGTACAGGTAATCCACTGTGTCTGAATCTCGATGATTAAGACAATGATTTGTAAGACTACACAATTCCTCATAAGATTCTAAGCATGATATTCTTTGTGTATCTCAACCATTTTGGTGTGCTCAACTGCTGGGGAATCCGAAGGAAAGTAACCGGGTATCTTTGCCTTGTCCCATAGGTTGGGGAGCAGCACCTTCAGAAACATGCAGCGCCGGCACACAACGCTGAGGGAGAAGGGCCGCCGCCAGGCCATCCGGGGTCCCGCCTACATGTTCAACGAGAAGGGCACCAGCCTGACGCCCGAGGAGGAGCGCTTCCTGGACTCGGCTGAGTATGGCAACATCCCGGTGGTCCGGAAGATGCTGGAGGAGTCCAAGACCCTCAACTTCAACTGCGTGGACTACATGGGGCAGAACGCACTGCAGCTGGCCGTGGGCAACGAGCATCTAGAGGTCACGGAGCTGCTGCTGAAGAAGGAGAACCTGGCTCGGGTGGGGGACGCGCTGCTGCTGGCCATCAGCAAGGGCTACGTGCGCATCGTGGAGGCCATCCTCAACCACCCGGCCTTCGCGCAGGGCCAGCGCCTGACGCTCAGCCCGCTGGAGCAGGAGCTGCGGGACGACGACTTCTACGCCTACGACGAGGACGGCACGCGCTTCTCCCACGACATCACGCCCATCATCCTGGCGGCGCACTGCCAGGAGTACGAGATCGTGCACATCCTGCTGCTCAAGGGCGCCCGCATCGAGCGGCCCCACGACTACTTCTGCAAGTGCAATGAGTGCACGGAGAAGCAGCGGAAAGACTCCTTCAGCCACTCGCGCTCGCGCATGAACGCCTACAAAGGACTGGCGAGTGCCGCCTACTTGTCCCTCTCTAGCGAAGACCCTGTCCTCACCGCCCTGGAGCTCAGCAACGAGTTAGCCAGACTAGCCAACATTGAGACTGAATTCAAGGTAACTCTCCCACTCAGCACCCTGCAGGCAGGTTGCCCAAGGGGCTTTTCCAGGCGAGTCCAGTGTGAAATGGGTTGTCTTCAAATCTAAGAAAGGGGGAAGCCTCCGGGTCTTACTGGGCAGCCTTAGGGGAGGAGGGGAACACATCGTCTCACCTATCATCAGAAGTAGGCCTGAGAGAAAAGCAGCCCTCTGGGTGAAATGTTTTAAACTACATAAATGCGGTGAGAAGTGACTTGAGTAGAAATCCATTTAGTAAAAGACAAGGGAGTGCAGGCAGGATTATGCTGTGATTCTGATGTCAGTGCCTCAGCTCTGCCTCAGGGAGCTCAGGAGTGAGTGTCCAGGACACCTAATGACCTATGGTTATTTCCTAGTGCCGCTCTTAGACTTCTTGATTGTTTCACCCACGTGGCTTTGGTTTGTCTCTTCACATCTCTGTCTCACCCTGGAATGTCCTGGTCAGTCTCAGTCTAACAGGAAGACCTGGCTGCAGCTTTTCTTAAACCTGGGAAGCTCTTGCCATTTTCTCATCAATGGGCTGAGGAGGAGGTACAGGAAAATAAAAATGAAACTGTCTCTATAGAGTTGAATTTGTCACCCTAGCAGATTAGCCCAGGGGAAAGCTCTGTAACTCGATCACTCTGAGAACACCTTGACCTGCCAGGCCAGCCTAGAGCATGGAAACTCACCCCCAAAGTGCATTTTTCAATAGCAGGATTGTGCTTTTATTGTCAACTGACATTCCGCCTGAAAGAGAAAACTGGGCCTTAAAGTAGGAAATTGTTTTCACATAGTGTTTAATAATAATAAGAGTAAATATTTAGCGGGCACTTATTGTGTGCCTAGCACTAACCACCTTATCTACATGATCTTATTTAATCTTCTCAGCAGTCATGTGACATGAGTACTATTATTAGCCTCATTTTATATAGAGGCACAGAGGTAGAGGATCACGTAGCTAGTAAATAGCAAAACCTTGTTCTAATCTATGCACTCTGACCCCAGAGCCAACTCTTAGCCACTTCAGGAAACTAGGGGCCAGAGCCTTACTTGTATATTGAGCTTTTCAGAGCTTTACTTGTTTTTACCTGAATGATGAAGGATTCCCCACGGTATAGCCAGAAGGGTAGGAACCACAGCTCGGCTCATTATTTCTCATCTTGCCATTCAGTCAGAGACAATCATGTGTTACCTGCCATGCAAAGAGGTATTGCACACAGACCTGTTACCTGCAAGTGAAAACTTCATGATCCAAACTAGAGGTCATTGGAGGAGCTGCCCCTGTATGGCATACAATTATACAGCCAGGAATGGGTACCAACGTATAGCAAGGAAGGCTCTCGTGGGCAATATTGTTCAATGAGGGCTCAAAGGAGATGTAATTAGACTGGGCCTTAATGAGTAGGAGTAATTGGGACATTAGGAAGAAAGAGTGGGCATTTGGAGGAGGTAAGTGAGGATGAGGCCCAGAATGGGCCAGAGCAGGGAGTGTGAGTAGTTCCATGTGACTCAAATACAGGCTTCCTATAGGGCACTCAGGAGGAATGCTGAAGAGATGAGTTGGGAAAGGATTTCATAGGACCCAGCAGTTCAGGCTGAGCAATCTTAATGTTGCCTTGTAGGAAATGGAGAACCACTGAAAGTTTCTAATTAGGAGACTAAAGTGATGAAAACTAGCATTTGGGAAATTAATTTGCCTGTGATAAGATTAATTGGAGAAGTTGGAATGAGAGGCACTGGGATTGAAGAAGGAGAAAATTTCATTTGTATGTAGGTGAGGCCATGGAAGCCTCTCTGTAGGAAGACGCTCATGCCATAAGCCAGGGACAGAAAGGCCAGGCCAACAGGAGATTGCAGGGACCCACAAATTGGGACTAGGCAAAAATTCTTTTTTTTCTTTTTTTTTTTTGTGATGGAGTCTCACTCTGTCACCCAGGCTGGAGTATAGTGGTACAATCTCAGCTCACTGCAACCTCTACCTCACGGGTTCAAGCCATTCTCCTGCCTCAGCCTCCTGAGTAACTGGGAATACAGGCACGTGCCACCATGCTCAGCTAATTTTTGTATTTTTAGTAGAGACAGGGTTTTACCATGTTGGTCAGGTTGGTCTTGAACTCCTGAGCTCGTGATCTGCCTGCCTCTCCCTCTTCAAGTGCTGGGATTACAGGTGTGAGCCACCTCACCCAGCCAGGATTAGATACAATTGCTTTAAAAAGTTTATTTTATGCCATTTCTCTCCCATCTAAGATCCAATCACTGAATTGAAGCCACTTCCCTAAATCCGACATTGTATAGTCTCATCTGAAAAACGTGGTGGATGTAGAGACAGAGATTACTGAAAGAAACTCTTGAGGAATGTAGCCTCTTTTCTCTTTTATTCTGTACAATAAACCTTACCTACTAACATTAAGGTCAAAGATGTGCTGAGAAAAATTGGCTGAACTTTGCATGTTGCCCAGTCTTCTGACTTATTCTGCATTGACCATGTGAAAGGAATGGCTAAACCAATTAATTTGGATTATTTCAAGCCAAAAAAATTTTTTTTAATTCAAGGAAAAACAGATCAGATTATCTGGAAAACTGCACAATTCTCTACTATATCTGGGAGCATGCCAGCCTTACTAAATAAAACAATACTAAACTAACATTTGGAATTACATCTGAGCCATTGTTTTTTTTTTAGTAAAACTCAAATCTGGCGTATTTCAGTATTTGCAATATCTAAAACTGGAAGTTTGTTTGAAAGCATTTACTATGATATTTTGATTTTAAAAGTAAATATGAAAATTGTGGACAATTAAGAACACCAATAACATGATGACGCATCCTTTCTACAAGGCAGTGATTTCCTCTGAATAAGCATTTGCATCAATACATTTGCTGGCTATTAACATCCCCCTAGGTACCTTTGTTTGAAGTAATGTCTTTTGGATTGTCGAAAAATGGCACATTATAAATTAACATAACTGTTCCTTTAGAACTTTATTACTTATTAAGCTACCTTATATGTGCATTCCTGACATTATAAGTCTTCTCAGAAGAGAGCAGCTTAGCAGAAAAGAAGTCAAATTGTAATAATAATCATAATTTTTGAAAAAAGAGCAAGAGAGTGTGTTCTAAAATGCACTTTTTCTGAATCTGTTCTGCTTTCAAGGCACCACATGTTGCTGCTTGTAGCCACATATTATGGAGACGACCCAATGCCATCAATTGTGTAGAAAAAATCAGATTTTCATTGGATATGTCATATGTAATCCTCCACATTCTCTAAAATATTCATTTTGGAAACAACTCTTCCTGACTAGGAAGCATCATCCATTAAAAACCTGGATTTAGTTTTCCCTGGCTATTGTTTTTATGGGTCCAGGTGCTGGGGTGATTACCCTTATCTTGTCTACTGCTAAATCACAGGAGGTTTGGGGATTTCCAAACCTGTATTCTTGTTAACCTTTCGTCAAACCTTTTTTCAAAGTTCTTAGTTTCTTTGCATTGGGTTAGAACAAGTTCTTTTAATTCACATAAGTTTCTTATCATCCACCTTTTGAAGCCTGCTTCTGTTAATGGAACACACTCGTTCTCCATCAGGCCTTGTTCCGTTGCTGATGAGGAACTGTGATCCCCTGTAGAGGGAGAGGCGTTCTGATTTTGGGTATTCTCAACCTTTTTAGGCTGTTTTCTTCCCTTCTTTGTAGATTTATCCATCTGTGGTCTTTATAATTACCGTCTTTATAATTGGGTTTCTGAGAGGACGTCCAACTTGTTGATTCCCAGTGCTAAAATCTGAGCAACCCACTGCGCCAGCCAAAACAGCAGCGTTATGCTTGATGGTGCTTTTCTGACTCTGCACCAAGAACCGCCGCACCAAGGCAGTGGCAAAACCGCCTCACCAGCCACAAGAGTCGTGCTGGCGACCCGTGGGGCTCCTCCACTGGGAATCTCCTGGTGCGTGAGCAACAAAAATTCGTCTGAAAGTGTGGCATCCTCTCATTCTCTGTGCTTTCACTGGGAGCTACAATCCCGAGCTGCTAGTGATCAGCCATCTTGGATCTTTGGCTATTGTTTTTAGAGTCACTTTAATTTATTACCAGAATAGACACTAGTCATTAACAAAAAGTGCAGCCAATGTCAAGGTCTTCAGCAAATCGTGGCTGGAGTTAGATGCCCACTAGCAAGCCATTATTTTTGGTGTGGAAATCATGTAACTGTTCAAGGATTTTATGTCTCTCTAATCTTGGATCTAGAAAGATATTAAAACTTGTTGGGGCCTCCCCCATACCTTGTATGGTGCCCAATAAGCTAGTAAGCATTTCAGAAATACTTAATGAAGGGAATAAAGGAAATCCTAAAAGGGTAATCATTTCAACTGATGAAGCAAGTGACTCCTTTTATTTATGGTTTAAAGTCTGCCTACATGGATGGATTTAATAGAGATATTTGTTGGACATAGTGAGACAAGGAAGCTCTAAAGAAAGTTACAAGCTGGTTGAGGGGACAACACCCATACACATTAAATAGCTGTTCCCAATCATATGGTTCTCTGTATGGTGTATGGAGGGCAAAGTGTGTCTTCTTAATCTTCCCCACAGTATCTAAAATGGGTTTGGGGAGCACAGCAAGCAAATGACATTTTGGTTGCTTGGTCTACCTATGCAGTGGGAGCCAGAGAAAAGGAAGATTGGTGTGAGCTGGACTTCTCAGAGGTGCTTCATCCTTGTGGAATAGGCTCTCCCTGTGTAGAGGCACCTAGAATAGCAAGGAAAAATAAAGAATTTGTCTATCTCAGTTGGGTAACAGCTCCTGCCAACAAGAACACAATGTGTTGTCTGCATCCTGAATTAATATGCTTGGTTTTCTTCACCGATCATCTTTCTGATAAAATGGCTTAGTAATTTCACCAGCAATTTTGGTCCACTTTCTTTTGCTAGCCTCCTTTATTTGCGTTCCCATCAAATTCCTGTGCGTTTTGTCTATGCATTTTATTTTTCTGTGGAGCTGTT